CTGACGGAGAGATCAATGGAAATCAAGTGTTGTGATTTGGTGTCTGTCTGTCTGTCTCTCTGTCTCTCTGTCTCTCTCTCTCTCTCTCTCTCTCTCTCTCTCTCTCTCTCTCTCTCTAGTCCTGGCTGCCGAGTGGACAGCACTCAGTGTTCGTAGTCTTAAAGAGTCCGAGTTCGATTCCCGGCCGAGGCAAAAACAAACAGGCAGTTTCTTTCACCTGATGTACTTATGTACTTGTTCACTTAGCACTAAATAGGTACCTGGGAGTTAGACAGCTGCTACGGGCTGCTTCCTGGGGGTGTGTGCGAATGAAAGATAAATATATGTACTAGATATAATAATGAATCTTTGGTCTGGAGTGAGTAGATTAGTCAACCGACGGTTAGAAAGGCGGGGTCCAAGAGCTAGCAGCTCTATCCTGCAGGTACGGAGATGTCAAGAGCAACCTTTTCAGCCTCAGAGTCGTAAATAAGTGGAACGGACAAGATGAGCACCCTGTCGAAGCCAACAGTCTTGATATGTAAATATAAGAAAAACTAGGGAAATGAGTCGCTATACTGAACTAATGATAGTCGAAAGATGGGGGGAGGGGGGAGGGAGATGCTCGACCCTGCAAGCACAACAAGGTGAGTACACACACACACAACACACACACACACACACACACACACACACACACACACACACACACACACAGTACGCCATGTAGACTTCGATGCAAATATGCCCCCCTCCCCCTCCCCCCTCCCCCGAGGGCGCCACAATGTGTGCCGCTGGACCTAACCGACATCACCTCATTAAGAACGTAACAAGGGCATCATCAGAGCTACAGGGGGCATTGGTCAACGCCGCCGCCTCCACCCTATCAAAAGTATTATTTACCTGCTGAAATAATATTTAGAGAACTGTAGATCTGGAACATGTGAATACCAACACCCTCTAACGAGCGGGGGGGGGGGGAGGAGGGGGGGGAGGGGGGGGGAAGGGGGGGAGGGGGGGGGAGGGGTGGAGGGGGGGAGGGGGGGGGAGGAGGGGCACCCCAGCAGCAAGACCAAGTATTTCACTCTTTACCCGCCAGTGATCTATAAAACGTGCTCTGATTGGCCAGCCTCCCCCAGTGACGTCAGAGGAGCAGTGATGTATCCCGCCACACACACACAGCGAAACTACGACGTTGCTACAAACGTTCGAACAACAAGATTTAACACCTCCTAACCAGTTACAACAACCCATATAACAAGTTGTAACAACGTTCTAATGCGTCAAAAACACGTTAAGCCAAGATGTAACAACTTTATTACAAGTTGTAACAAGCGGAAAATAGGGTCAGTTACGATTTGTGTTTCCAGGGAAATTGGGAAAATTAATTGGGAAATTGGGAAATTAATCCTATATAGGATTAATCCTGATCGATTGGTAGGAAGCAGGTTGTCCTCCTCGCATCATAAGTATATATATATTAATTATCAAACACATGCCACTCTTTGTGCAGACGAGGAGTCACAATAACGTGACTGAAATATGTTGACCAAACCCCACACTAGAACGTGAAGGGACGACGACGACGACGTTTCGGTCAATCCTGAATCATCGTCACAATCGACTTGAGAATGGTCCAGGACGGACCGAAACGACGTCGTCGTCCCTTCACTCTCTAGTGTGTGGTCTGGTCAACATACGCCATTCTTTATCAACCTCCGCAACGTGAGAGGTCACAATGACTGTCGTGTAGTGGCGCCGTCCGTCCAGTCCGTCCTCCTGTTAACGTACTACTTCTTGTACGTAAACGATGTGCACTATCGTACATTCAGTGACGTAATGGACAATTCGATAGTAGAATTTCGTTACTATTCACTTTATAGAATTCGGCAAAAATAAAGCTAAAACCCCCAACTTTAAAACATTCCTAGTGTAGTACATATATGTACTATATTAGGGCTCAGATAGCGAGTATTAGGCCTAGGATGGTCAGGTTAGGTTAGGGTTTTATTAGCAACACGAACATAAAACCTTTTCCGGTTTGTCCAAATTCAATAAAGCCGAATTGTACTTTCTAATTGTCCAATACGTCAATGGTTACCTAACATTCATCATGCAACATTCGTATTGAGAAACTTTAGTTTAAGAAGTTAGGTTATGTAAGGTTAGTTACAGCTGAAGGCTTAGTAATGTTAGGTTGAGACAGCTGAAGGCTTAGTAATGTTAGGTTGATACAGCTGAAGGCTTAGTAATGTTAGGTTGATACAGCTGAAGGCTTAGTAATGTTAGGTTGAGACAGCTGAAGGCTTAGTAATGTTAGGTTGAGACAGCTGAAGGCTTAGTAATGTTAGGTTGATACAGCTGAAGGCTTAGTAATGTTAGGTTGATACAACTGAAGGCTTAGTAATGTTAGGTTCAGTTACGGCTAAAAGCCACACAACAATGAGAACAATTCCACACGTCCCATTCTACATGTGAAGAGACTTACCGAACTTGATGAATGGAACAAACACCCACAAATAACGATAAATCCAGATCAACTCAACACACCCGGCCACAGCTACGATACAGTAGTGGAACACAGCCGTCAAATCCACCACCACCAGGCAAGCTACTGAAGCCACCGAGAACCGATATCTATATAACCTAGCTACAATATAACGTTTCTTTGGTCGGGCAACCTGGACACAGCCCTCACCCGACACACACAAGCCAGCAGTAAGGCTTCTCTCCTCTCTTCTAGCCCCAACCCCCAATAACCCCCCTCCCTGCCCCCTCTCCATTGCGATGGAGGGATACGAGGTCATCTTGGACGATGCTGGACCCTCACTTAACGATCATACACCATAATGACATGGTAATGACTGTAATTAATAACATCCTAATGTGTAAGAACAATGATCAAACCTTCCCCATGGCGCAAACATTGTTTACTCAACTTACAGCTTCTTCGGTAATACATTTTCGGTGGGCAGCTGGTGGTGGGGATGGTGGAGGAGGGGGCTGTGCTCTGAGGACGGTGGTGGGGAAGTTGGGGAGGTGGTGGTGGTGGAGACGCTGCGGGAGTAAGGCCACGCTCCAGCCCTCCTCGGGTGTTGAAGCAGGTGTTGGGGAGGAGGAGAGTGCTGGTACTCGAGGCTCAGGTCTGTGTCCGTCTCACTCTGCACCATGCTAGACGGGACACACGTGTCTTGAGTGGGAAGGTCCAGGGTAGGGAGGAAGCATGAGGGGAAGGGGGTTTAAGGAGGTAGAATGAGGGAGGGAGGGGGGGTTTAAGGAGGTAGAATGAGGGAGGGAGGGGGTTTAAGGAGGTAGAATGAGGGATGGAGGGAGTTTAAGGAGGTAGAATGAGGGAGGGAGGGGGTTAAGGAGGTAGAATGAGGGAGGGAGGGGGTTTAAGGAGGTAGAATGAGGGAGGGAGGGGGTTTAAGGAGGTAGAATGAGGGAGGGAGGGGGTTTAAGGAGGTAGAATGAGGGAGGGAGGGGGTTTAAGGAGGTAGAATGAGGGAGGGAGGGGGTTTAAGGAGGTAGAATGACGGATAGAGGGAGGGTGGATGAAAAGGCGGGCGAGCGGACAGGTGGAAGAAGGGATAGGCTATCCAGGCTAGGAGTGAGGGATGGTGATGTCAACATCACACCTCGCCACAAGCCAGCATCACCACACACACTATCCTCCACCTAATTACTAGTGTCAGCACTAGCTCCAATCTTCACTTTCACCTAAACATTTATAGGTTAATTAAAACAAAAACAAAAATAAGCGTTAATTATGACAAGTCCAATTATTACAAATTAATAAATACTAATGTTAATCCAAATTAAAAACAATTACGAACAAAAGTAATATTTGTACGTTGTTTGTGAAATACAAGTCTCTGTACGTGCGTTCAAGGCGTTTAAAACCTAAATTTGTGCTCTAATGAGCTCACACACACTCCTTAATCTTTATGTCCATGCTCATGCGTTCAACATGTGTCTTTATCTTCATGCTCATGCGTTCAACATGTGTCTTTATCTTCATGCTCATGCGTTCAACATGTGTCTTTATCTTCATGCTCATGAGTTCAACATGTGTCTTTATCTTCATGCTCATGCGTTCAACACGTGGCTTTATCTTCATGCTCATGCGTTCAACACGTGGCTTTATCTTCATGCTCATGCGTTCATAACCCCTAGAGTGCGCACCCGCAACACTGCGCCCCGTGACCCAGGCCTCCATACATATCTAAACAGGAGGAGAGTTTGGACAAAACGATAGTGACTTGTTTGACACCTTTGCTGGAGTTACCAGAGAATACGCGAGGTTCAGCTCAAATAACTGTTCAATATTTGTGTGTGCGGAGGCGAGCTTTAGCTCTTGTGCCCCTTACATGCTCACTTCTCCACCCCCCCCCCCCGAGACAAAGATAGCAAGAATTTGAACAATTACGTTACAATTTCGAGCGAATGCGATAGATTTACCGAGCAATACTACGGCATAAGGGAGCAGCAGGAGGGACCGAAACGTCGCCGCTTTCCTTTCACGTGTGGGGGGGGGGGGGTAGGTTATTGTTCCAGATCTAGCTCTTGGACCCCGCCTCTTAGCCGTCAGCTGCTGCTATTCCTCCCGATGTTTCAGCGCTTTGTGCTACACCTGCTGTACAACTTTGTGGCGCGAATTGACTTCCACAATTCACTCACAGTTCATTCCACTTGTTTCCTCTCACTGCGTTTAGGCTTCTGGGGGTGAACAGAGGCATCATGTGTAAGATGCCCAAACGTCTCGTCCTGCCCGAGGGGACTTGACCCGGGATTTCCTTGGAGTTCTCCCCCTTGACGGTATGCTGGTGCTGCCCTCTCCACGGCCCTCGTCACCACACACACACACACACACACACACACACACACACACACACACACACACACCACACCTCATAGTCAATATTCCCAATACCCAGTCTCAGACCCTTGGCGTGCATGCCCGTGTGCAACCTGCTCTCGCACAAGACAGCACATATATGACTTATTGTTTATAGTCATTA